AGGTCTTGGTCGCTGCAGCGGATCACCAGACCCACCCTGATGGACCCTGGTCGGAAGGGGAAGTGGCTAATGGCCCTCATACCCTGCAGAAGGGACGCCCTTGGGGACTGGGTGTCCTGCGGGCGAGTCTTCATCAGGCGGGAAACCGACGAGAGGAAAGAGGAGCCGGAGGAGTAGTAGACGAGGTCGCCGCCTCCGGAACCGTAGCCGAGAATGCCCATTTTGACGTCGCTGTTTCGGGAGGGAAATGGGGCTGTACTGTGTTGTGTGAGGGATGCATGCAATTCTGCCCTTCCGTTAGCGCAGTAAGAACTCAATCAAATAAGACTTAGGTGATTTAATTTGAAATAGAAAGATTCAGGTGATATAACTTGAAATTGAAAGACTCAGGTGATATAACATGAAAAATGAAAGCAAAAAGGGATTTCTTCGGACACCAAATAATAATAAATAAATAAATAAAATTTTTGGCACACAAATAAATCATTCCTCACCTGACGTTCTTCCCCTGAGCTATTCTCTTGAGGACGCCAGGCAGAGGACCCACAAGGTGTTCGTAGATGAAGTCGTCGCAGGTGTTTTCGTCGACCAGCATCACGATGTCCATCTCGGGCGGCTGTGACATCGGCTCCTCATAGGAGAGTTTCCCCTTCCTTGCTGCAGGTCGGCGTGAGGACTAACTTTAATATTTACAGGTGGAAATGTGTATGTGTTTGTGTTTGTGTGTGTGTGTATGTGTGTGTGCGTGTGTGTGTGTGTGTTTGTGTGTGTGTAATTTTCTTTCTTTCTTTTCTGTTTCTTCTTTTTTTTCTTTCTTTCTTTTTTCTTGAGTCAACGGGGAATATACATATTGTTTCTTTGTTGTTTGTTTAAGATGTGAGTATCTTTACTATTTGTATATCTTCTGAGTCAAATTTCGTTAGTAGCACGGGTACGCTTGCCTCATTTTTGACACCGGATATAGATAAAACACACCAATCTAAAACATTTCTAATACCTTATCTCCACAAACGAATGATAATGAAGATAACATCTCTTATCCTTTAGAATATTTTCCGATTATCAGGCCACTGGGTCGCAGTCACATTACGTTCACGTTGCCGAGGATTTCTGTAGATTTTAATTTGATTCCATCTTGTAAGTACGTGGTGAAAATTTCTTATCCCAGGCGGGGGTATGGGGGTAGCAGTCTCCTAAAAAGGGGGTTGCTGACCCTTGTTAACTTATGTCAGCGGGGAAAATGAACAAAAGATGGGGGAAATGCCGTACTCATTTTTCATATTTTTGTGAAATATCTCTGCCCATAGATGGCTCTGCTAGTCCTGATTTCACCTTTCCTTGAATTGGCGGGAAAAAAACGTATTCTTACTAGTGCTGTAAATATAGATTGTGTTATTTTTAACAGCAAATTAGGATAACGTTAAATATTTTCGTAAATCGATGAAAAGGGTGAACGGGCGAGACAGGCAGTACTGTAATTGGCTCATTGGATACTTAGTACAAGTGTTGCCATCTATGTGTAAAAACAATCAAACAAGTCGACTCACAGTGGGCATGGCATGTACGTACATGCCATCCCCGGCGGCAATGGGTTAACTCAATGTCAGCGGGGTTATTTACTGTCCTCCTTATATTTTAGTGAGTTTTGTTACATACAGATGGCTCCACGTGTGCTCAGCAGCAAGGAGTCTATAAGTAGGCCCTCGTGACCGATCCTGATTTCCCCATTCCTTGAATTGGCGGGAAAATGCGTGTTTTTTTTCCCAATACTACTAATATTGACATTATCATTCTTATTGATTTTTGATTATTGAATTGTTATTAAAATATTAATAACACTATACACGGCACCAAACACGATATGACTTTTTTTTGTATTTTTGTAAGGCCTCCTCCTCACCCCTTATAGCCGTCCGATCCACCCACTTCGCCTTGCGTAACAAACGAAGACAGTCATTTAAATATTTTATTTCGAACACAATACGAAATTCACAGAACTCACATCCACAACATGTATTATAAAAGTATGTGTACAACATCTCTTCAAACCGCATTTTGCAAAATAAATTCTGAACAAATTACTATGTGGGAACAATATACATGGCACCAGACACGATATGACATTTTAAAATATTTTTGTACGGCCTCCATCTCACCCCTTATAGCCGTCCGATCCACCCACTCTTGGTATAACAAAATAAATCATTTGCAATTTCCAGCACAAAGAAAGCACACAGACATTACAACCACAGCGTGTATTATATGCACATGCATCTATAAGTCTGCCTCTTCAAAACTACACAATTTTCATACATTATGGACACCCGGGACACGGCCAAGTCCAAAAATATCATGATTATCTTTCGGATGTACTTACACCGTTGCTGCGTCCAGACGGTAATTCGGAATGTCACCAAAATTTAATCAGTTCTAAGTTAGTCCCTATCTGACTTGTCCCCAAAATTTCGATGAAATCCGGCCAGCTACGCTGTTAACAAACAAACAAACCAACAAACCAACGCCGTCAAAAACATAACCTCCTTGGCGGAGGTAATGACGTAATAGAAGTGATGCTTTCAAAAAATGAAGGAAAAGGGTAAACAGATGAGATAGATAAGACTAATAGCTGTAAAGTGTAAAGACAATAGATAAACTTATTATTACAGTGGGCATGGCATTGTAGTTGTACCACCTGCTGACATTGGGTTAAGAGAACTTAGAAATTTGAAATGCTCGCGTAATGGTTGTGGTCGCGGCGGTTGGTACCGAGAACTCATTGAAATGGTGTTTGATGTTTATAAAGTGAATTTGTTTGCTGTTCGTATCCCACGCGTTTGGATCGTTGATTCCTCCAGGTCGACTTAAGCAATAATTTTAATATTCACAATTGGAGGTTTTTGGCTTCCGTTCCCTTTTCTTATTTGATCTGCGAAAACTGTATATTTTTTCTATGTGATTTGTTTATAGTGTGGACGTGTACCAGTTATTTTGTCGTTGAATGATATGTGCTGAACTCAGTATAAATAAGTTCGTGTTACTAGCTTGCTGGGTGTGGTTTTCAACGTTGAAAAATTTATATTATGTTCATAAAAGTACGCATATATCCATGCATGCATGTATATTTGTTTATGCATATATATATATATATATATATATATATATATATATATATATATATATATATGTATATATATGTATATATATGTATATATATGTATATATATATGTGTGTGTGTGTGTGTGTGTGTGTGTGTGTGTGTGTGTGTGTGTGTGTGTGTGTGTGTGTGTGTGTGTGTGTGTGTGTGTGTGTGTGTGTATGTGTGTGTGTGTGTGTGTGTATGCATATTATATATATACACATATATGTATGTATATATACATATATATATATATATATATATATATACTTAAATATATTTCTTACTTTTGTATTTAGTTTTCTTTGTTTTATTATTTTTTTTTATTTGTGTATTCATTGGGTTAGTGCGTGTGATTACATATATTTTCCACATTACGATATTCATGGGAGGTGTTGGGAGCATACAATACATCCAATACAAATCACGTAACAACATAAGCATGTTAGTTGCATCTATTCGCAGCCTTTGCTCGTTACACATGCATGATTTTCAGTTGCATTCTATAAGCAGTACAATGGGAGAAGACAGGAAAATAAAACCAATAATTATTTAAGTTTGCGATCTAATCAGCTCCTTGTGGAGAAAAGACAGGGCAGGTAGAAAACGGGGTATTATAGAAAATGGAACGAATCATAGAAAACGGGCAGTGATGATGAACATATGTGTGTGTGTGTGTGTGTGTGTGAGAGAATGAAAGAGAGAGAGAGAGAGAGAGAGAGAGAGAGAGAGAGAGAGAGAGAGAGAGAGAGAGAGAGAGAAGAAGAGAAGAAAGAAAGAGAGAGAGAGAGAGAGAGAGAGATATGCAACGAGAACAAGAATAAAGCGAATATGAAGAGATATAAAACAAGAGAAAAATGGATGTTGCGGAGGAGGGAGCTGGCACAAAAAGAGCAATGACTTTCCGGCCTTCTCATTATGCCTAGTTTATTGTCCTTAGTATTAGCTTCTTTGTTTAAATAAAGGAAAGCACAGTCATAAACTACAAGTTTTCTTTTTCATTTTTGGGTCAGGTCATAGTACAGTAATTAAAATTTAATACATAAATGAAGGCATACTTGCATATCTCTATGTAAGTAACAGACCGTACATACGTGCATATATACATTATACGTGTATATACTTACATAAGATACACACACGCGCACACACACACACACAAATATATATTGCATGTGTATGTTGAACTTATATATAGCATAAGATAATTAATGATTCAGAAGTCATATTATTACTTAGGGGAAATCATAGACAATTTACTGTATCTTTTGCCAATGCTTACGTTTTTGCTCATTGCATTAGTAGTATTAGCATCCCTGTCACATATCATTAGAGATGATGGTGGTTTGAATGGTATTAAAAACAAGTGAGAAAAAAAAACATGTCCATTTAATCATGATGGGTGTTGTTACGATTATCATATCATCGATGGGACTAATACTATGGTGTTAATTATCTTCTGCACTAGTATGATTATTGGTGCCACAGTCATTAGCAATTAGAAATAACAATTATTTTTTACACACAGAGTTATCAAGTCTTGGCAACAGGTGATTAGCACATTAGCTTTAGCACAAGCAATATTATAATTAGTTGAATTAATCGGTCATCCGTCATCAACCTTAAGCCTAATGTTAGTACTGATTAAAGAAGCAGAGAGAATTCCGAAGCGGCATGCCAAGCGAGAGCAAATTAGCGCCAGACCAGAGGAACAGCTGCACACGCCACCCGGAAGCTGCATGCTGGCGAAGCGCTTTGGTTCCCCGCCTCCCGCCGTTGCCTCAGTTGCCATAGCCTCTTCTGGAGGAGGGCGACTCACCGCAGGGCCGAGGAGGCAGCAGCTTCACGTCGTTCTTGGAGCACACGCTGGAGTAGGCGGCCAAGACGTTGCACGAGGCCTCCATCTCCTCGCCGTTGGGCTCGGCGTAGTCCTGGTTGTGGAGGAAGAACAGGTTGTTGCTGCTCTTGGGGCGGGGCGCTCGGTGCTCGGGCATGCGGGAGACGCGAGAGGGCTCTTCGGCAGCGCCGGGGGGTCTGCGTGGCAGGACCCGTCGCGGCATCCTGCGGGAGGCCATGCCGCGCTTCCTCGCCGCGGGGCCAGGTCTGCCCTTCCTTTCCTGGATCTGAGACAGGTGGCTGACGCAGGTCGTGTAGAAGGGGTGGACGTCAACGTAGTCATGGCATGGGCTGAAGTGTAAGATATAGGACGTCAGAAATAAAACTCGCAAGTCCTGCTGAGCGCAGAATATAACCGTGCAATAATATAATTCCACATGGCTTTGAAATAACATTAATATTCTTAAACGACATGTGTGTTTCATTCAAAAATACAAAAAAATATTTAACAGAAATGACTCACAAGGCCGCAGAACCGTAGTGCAGGAGGAACTTGCGACACAAATGGTGAGCTCGAACATTAGATGGAATTTCGAGCGATACTTGGTCTGGCGGACAGCTGGACCCCACCTGCCAGCTCTGACTGAACACCTCTCCGCTGAGAGCCACCTGGGAGGTAGACAGTACTTAGTATGATATAAGTTTCGGGTCTCTGTCGGTCTGCCTGTCAGGATCTGTTTCTATCTATATATATGTATTTAACTGCCTTTGTGTCTACCTCTCCTTCTCCCGCCATCCCTCTTCCCCTACCTAACACTCTCTCTCCCTTTCCTTCACCCTCACCCTGTCCCTCTCCCTCTCCTTCTCCTTCACTCTGTCCCTCTCCTCCTCCTTCACCCTCACCCTGTCCCTGTCCCTCACCTTTTCCTTCACCCTCTCCCTTCCCCTTTCCTTCACCCTCCCCCTGTCCCTCACCCCCACCACCACCCCTATAAACCCACCCAACAACCCACCATGTCCCACAAGTGCCCCCCACGCATGAACATAAACAACACATCCGAGCCTTGAATCCCCGGCCGCCTCACCCCGCCGCTGGGTCTCATGAGTTCGTTGGAGAGGTCGAGGTCGTAGTGTCCCAAGAGGCCTCTCGTGTCCGCGTGGAGCCACCCGCTCACCCCGACGACGCAGGCGTGGTAGGAGTCCCAGCAGGAGACCATGACCAGGTCGCGGCCGAGGCTGTCCCTGGCGCTGACGGAGAGGAGCTGGGGGTCCCTCCTCACGCTCAGGACGTCGCTGGAGTAAGGCAGAGGGACGCGGTCGCCGTTCACCTCCACCTTTGGGAATTTAAAAAGGAATTTTGTGGACGTGTGTGTTTTCGAAGCCTACGTTAGATCGAAATCATAAAAAAATAATAACGATAGTAAAAAAATAAAAAAAATGCATGTAAACTAAAATAAAAACCTGATAAAGAAATCAGTTTTTTTTAAACAAGATAAAAAATACACAAAAAACACCTCCAAGACAATGAGAAACAATATAAAACAATAATAATATGATAACTTTTATATTTAAGCAAAACCAAAATGTAAAAATCACCCCAAAATAAATAAAATTAAACTAAAACAACTTTAACCTTACCTGCAAGTCCGGCAGCACCTTCAGCGTTGTGTCTCCCAAGAAGAGGGTATACTCGCGCCGATTTTGCGTAACGTTTAAGCTCGAAACAAGAGTGAAAAGGCCATCGCGGGCGTCGGTGACCAGCACGTGGGCGCAGGACGGAGTCAGGGTGTACGACAGGCCATCCAGCGTAATAAAGTGATTTTCCCCAACGATCGCTCCGTAACCTGGACGGGCGTGCGTGGACCAAAAGAAATAACGGAATATTTTTAAAATCTACACTAATTTTAAACTCACTTTTCATATTTCAAAACGAGCTCTATACACATGAAAATGACATATTCATCATTTCCTTCCACCTACGCTTCGAATATCCTCAATTCCAACACAGATTTTTAACAATTTACATAACCATCACCATTACCGAATACACTCAATTTCAACAGATTTTAACAATTACACAATCATCCTCCTCCTTCAACCTGCGCTTCGAATACACTCAATTTCAACACAGACTTTAACAGCTACATAATCATCATTATCTACAACCTGCGCTTCGAATACACTCAATTCCAACACACATATTGACATCGCCTCAGACCTGTAAACGGCGGGACTACTCGATGGAACAGCTCGGTGGGGTGTGTGAGCAGATGCCACCAGCGTTGCACGGCCGACGGGAAGCTCAGTCGATGCCGTGCCGCCCTCGCACTACCTGTTAGTACGTTCCACACGTCGAATAGAGAGTGTCCGCATTCAGGTAGTGGGATCTATGAGAGTGATAAAGATAAAAATTTTAAAAAGAGACCATACATATTTAATTCATCTCTATGTTAAAAATGATAATACGCTGTTAAATTCATATCAATATTAAAGAGAGACAATACAACAATTTACCAACTGTCAAATTCATCTCGATGTTAAAAGGAACAATATACTCATACAATATAAAGAAAAAAGACGATACACTTTTAAATGAATGAATTATTAAATTGATTTCAATGTAAGACATATATTATATTCTTCAATTCATGCAGTGTTAAATTCATCTCAATGTGAAAAGTGACAATACACATGTATAACTGCCAACGACAGTATTTTTTTCAGTTACTGATTTGCTAATAAATAAACTAATCTACAAATTTCTTATCCCGATCCAATGACGATTTTGCTTCCGACAGATCACAGAAGCCTATTGCAAAACACGACATCAACTCTTTGATAATGAAACATCGAAACACACTATTAGTATGAGTTCAACAACGACACTAATTCATCATATACAGCACAGAGAAGCTCGGCAATAATCTATCAATGAAAAATAGTAATAAAGTGATAAAATAAATAGTAATATCTACTAATAAACAACAATCTATCAACAAATAACAAACTATCAACAAACAATAATAATAAACTATATCTATCAATAAACAACAATCTATCAACAAACAATGATAATAATAAACAATCTATAAAAAATAATCAATCAACAAACAATGATATTAAACAATATCTATCAATAAACAACAATCAGCAAACAACAAGAATAAACAATATCAATAAACAACAATCTATCAAGCAAACAACAAGAATAAACAACGATCTATCAATAAACGCCATCATTTTTACCCAGATGTTCCAGACGCCTGCAGCCACCTCCGAGGAATATGGGGTTCCGTTCCAAGGATACAGCAAGGAGAAGAGCTGTAAGGGATAATAGTCCTTATGGAGGTTTTTGAAGGTGGGGATATATTAAATGGTGTGGGTTTCCATTTGTCATTTTCTGTTCCTATTGTAATTTTCATGTAAGATCTATTTTTTCTATTTGTCTATTGGTATTGAAATATTAATTGCTGATTAGGTGCTGTGGATTTTATTTTTTCATGTTATCTAAATTCCATATTTAACCTAATGTCCGTTAATGATTTAAACATTAATCCATATATTCAAATAATAATAACAGAAACATTCATTGTTGATTAGGCACTGTGTATACTGACCTTATGTACCTCAATCAATCTATTAAAAAAAATATTCATTATTGATTATGCACTGATACACACAACTGACCTTATGTACGTAACGAACAGTAGTTCTTGTCGCAGCGGTGAAGAATGCATACACCTTAGAACTCTGTACGTATCTCGCATGTATCACTATCCATTCCACGGCGTCGGACACGAGAGGCACCGACAGAGCTTGAGACCGAGAGAAAAAAAATGGTTAGTTGTTTTTTGGTGCATGTTAGAGGAAGGATGTTTATTCAGTTGGTGGGAGTTCACTTAAAGGGGGGAGGGGGAGAGGTCATGGTGGGAATTTGGGAGATAGGATCTCAATCTAATCAAGCTCAGTGTCTTTTTTTCCTTTCTCTCTCTCTCTCTCTCTCTCTCTCTCTCTCTCTCTCTCTCTCTCTCTCTCTCTCTCTCTCTCTCTCTCTCTCTCTCTCTCTCTCTCTCTCTTCCCTTCCCTCTTCTCTCTTCTTCCTTCCCTCTACTTCTCGCCCCCCCTTTTTTCTCTTCCTCTCCCTCTTTTTCTTCTTTAACCTCCTCTCCAACTCTCCCTTTCGCTCACTTTCTTCTTTAACCATTTCGCTCTCTCCCTTCCCCTTCCTTCTCTCTCCCCTCCCCCCTCCCCTCCCCTCCCCTTCTTTCTCTCTCCCTTCCCCCTCCCTCCTCCTCTCCTCTCACCCTCTTTCTCTCCCCCCTCCCCCCTCCCCTCCCCTCACCTTGGTCCAACATCATCATTGGCAATTCCGAGACGAAGTTGATCGTCGTCGAGATCGTCTCCTTCAGCCCCTCGATAATCTGCATCAGGAGGAAGCCCGCGTTGGTCACTGCAGCCTCCGTCCACACCCTCACGCCCATGCCCACTTCGGATATCAAATCCCCGAAGTTGTGGCTGATGTAGGCCACTGTCGCCTCCACCATGACACTTGCAAGGTTAAAAAAAGGATAGGTTATTTATTTATCATTATTTTTTACATCTGGTTATAAAATGCGAATGATTTTTTTTTTACATCTTGTTATAAAATAATATGATTTATTGTAATATAGTTTAGTATTCACTAGTCAGAGGAAACAAACAAATAAGATTAGATGGGAAATATTTTTTTTTGTGTATTCTCCATATGTTTGGATAATTCTCTGAGATTCTTAGTGTAGTGAAAACATCGTCACCATATCTCAATCGACAGTGTTTTATGGTGACGAGAAACCTACACGTGATGCTGTGATCTCGTCAGTTCCTCTATCAGCCCCGCAGTTACCTGACTTTAATGATCTCGAAGCCAGAATGGGTCCATGATCTGTCCATCACTCTGTTATTAACCTTACCTCCTGATATCAACCAAAACATTAAAAACATTAAAACATTAATAACCTGTTCCTCACTCAGCCACAGCGACCTGACTTTATCTCGTGTCGTCGCATCCAAGTCCCTGACCTTCCCTGGTGACATCGATGCCTGCAAGAGTCACTATTCTACCCTTCACTGTCCCTGACGTCTTTGACCTTACTTGGTGACATCGACGCCAGAAAGGGTCAATGTTCTATCCATCACTGTCCCCGACGTTCTTGACCTTACTTGGTGACATCGACGCCAGAAAGGGTCAATGTTCTATCCATCACTGTCCCTGACGTCTTTGACCTTACTTGGTGACATCGACGCCAGAAAGGGTCAATGTTCTATCCATCACTGTCCCTGACGTCTTTGACCTTACTTGGTGACATCGACGCCAGAAAGGGTCAATGTTCTATCCATCACTGTCCCTGACGTCTTTGACCTTACTTGGTGACATCGACGCCAGAAAGGGTCAATGTTCTATCCATCACTGTCCCTGACGTCTTTGACCTTACTTGGTGACATCGACGCCAGAAAGGGTCAATGTTCTATCCATCACTGTCCCTGACGTCTTTGACCTTACTTGGTGACATCGACGCCAGAAAGGGTCAATGTTCTATCCATCACTGTCCCTGACGTCTTTGACCTTACTTGGTGACATCGACGCCAGAAAGGGTCAATGTTCTATCCATCACTGTCCCTGACGTCTTTGACCTTACTTGGTGACATCGACGCCAGAAAGGGTCAATGTTCTATCCATCACTGTCCCTGACGTCTTTGACCTTACTTGGTGACATCGACGCCAGAAAGGGTCAATGTTCTATCCATCACTGTCCCTGACGTCTTTGACCTTACTTGGTGACATCGACGCCAGAAAGGGTCAATGTTCTATCCATCACTGTCCCTGACGTCTTTGACCTTACTTGGTGACATCGACGCCAGAAAGGGTCAATGTTCTATCCATCACTGTCCCTGACGTCTTTGACCTTACTTGGTGACATCGACGCCAGAAAGGGTCAATGTTCTATCCATCACTGTCCCTGACGTCTTTGACCTTACTTGGTGACATCGACGCCAGAAAGGGTCAATGTTCTATCCATCACTGTCCCTGACGTCTTTCTCGTGTCGTCCCATCCAAGTCCTTGACCTTATCTGGTGATATCGATGCCTGAAAGAGTCACTATTCTATCCATCACTGTCCCTGACGTCTTTGACCTTACTTGGTGACATCGACGCCAGAAAGGGTCAATGTTCTATCCCTCACTGTCCCTGACGTCTTTGACCTTACTTGGTGACATCGACGCCAGAAAGGGTCAATGTTCTATCCATCACTGTCCCCGACGTCCGTGACCTTACCTGGTGACATCGACGCACGCCTGGGCCATCTGCGCGATGTCCTTCAGTAGCTGATCGTTCCTGAGCTCGTTCACCATCATCACAACGTGGCGTCGCGAGTGGGTGGCCAGCATGTGGGCGGGGGAAGGGCTGGCCATCCGCGCTAACCCGTCCATCACGTCCAAGTCTGTGGCCATGGTCCTCGTCACCGATTTGGCCGTGCTGATGATGTCGTCCAGTTCGCCCTGGATGCCGTCCTGGTGGGCCAAGAAGAGCGGATAGTGAATTTCGGTCATCAGGCATATTTGACGAACTTATATTTTAGACTATATTCGCTAAATCTAGTTTGTGTGTAACATTTTATTTTTTCAGTATTCTGTTGTTGTTTTTTGTACTACATACATTACACTTACCGTAATTCCAATCTTCATTTTACTTAATTACATCCATAGAAAGCAAAAATGAATATATATATGGACCTAAAAAATCTCATATAAAAAAAACAATCAGTCTATATCCATCCTTAGAAAACAATAAAGAATTCAGAGTGATCCGAGAGAAAATAAATTACATACGCTACAAAAATCCCCCCAAAACGGAAGAAAGATATCTGAAACGTAAACAAAAAACATAAGAGCATCAAGAATCTCCAAGCGAATCCCCAAAACGTTATAAAAGCATCGGATTCCACCCATAACCTGCCTCACCTTGAAATCCCTCCACCTACTCCACATCGTACCGCGCGAGTGGGCCATGGCGTGGAGCAGGAACGGCGGGTGGAGTTGGAACTTGATGTGGACGGCGTCGAGGAGGTCCATCTCCGCCCGACGGGAGTCCACAAGGCCGAGGCGGAGGGCCATCTCGTCCTCCAGTTGGCCGGCGGCTGAGGGGGAGAGCGGACGGGTGTGTGGTTTAGGATAATGTGGTCAAGGTATTTTATATCATTCAGTAGCTATTTATCTGTCTTTCTGTCTACCTGTTTCCCTGTCTGTCTGGTCCCTGACGTCTTTGACCTTACTTGGTGACATCGACGCCAGAAAGGGTCAATGTTCTATCCATCACTGTCCCTGACGTCTTTGACCTTACTTGGTGACATCGACGCCAGAAAGGGTCAATGTTCTATCCATCACTGTCCCTGACGTCTTTGACCTTACTTGGTGACATCGACGCCAGAAAGGGTCAATGTTCTATCCATCACTGTCCCTGACGTCTTTGACCTTACTTGGTGACATCGACGCCAGAAAGGGTCAATGTTCTATCCATCACTGTCCCTGACGTCTTTGACCTTACTTGGTGACATCGACGCCAGAAAGGGTCAATGTTCTATCCATCACTGTCCCTGACGTCTTTGACCTTACTTGGTGACATCGACGCCAGAAAGGGTCAATGTTCTATCCATCACTGTCCCTGACGTCTTTGACCTTACTTGGTGACATCGACGCCAGAAAGGGTCAATGTTCTATCCATCACTGTCCCTGACGTCTTTGACCTTACTTGGTGATATCGATGCCTGAAAGAGTCACTATTCTATCCATCACTGTCCCTGACGTCCTTTGACCTTACTTGGTGACATCGACGCCAGAAAGGGTCAATGTTCTATCCCTCACTGTCCCTGACGTCTTGACCTTACTTGGTGACATCGACGCCAGAAAGGGTCAATGTTCTATCCATCACTGTCCCCGACGTTCTTGACCTTACCTGGTGACATCGACGCACGCCTGGGCCATCTGCGCGATGTCCTTCAGCAGCTGATCGTTCCTGAGCTCGTTCACCATCATCACAACGTGGCGTCGCGAGTGGGTGGCCAGCATGTGGGCGGGGGAAGGGCTGGCCATCCGCGCCAACCCGTCCATCACGTCCAAGTCTGTGGCCATGGTCCTCGTCACCGATTTGGCCGTGCTGATGATGTCGTCCAGTTCGCCCTGGATGCCGTCCTGGTGGGCCAAGAAGAGCGGACAGTGAATTTCGGTCATCAGGCATATTTGACGAACTTATATTTTAGACTATAATCGCTAAATAATCTAGTTTGTATGTAACGTATTTTATTTTTTCAGTATTCTGTTTTTTTGTTCTACATACATTACACTTACTGTAATTCCAATCTTCATTTTACCCAATTACATTCATAGGAAGCAAAAATGAATATACATAGACCTAAAAAAAATTACATATTATAAAAACAATCAGTCATCTATATCCATCCTTAGAAAACAATAAAGAATTCAGTGTGATCCGAGAGAAAAAAAAATCACATTACAAATATCACAAAAAAACGGAAGAAAGAGATCTAAAACGTAAACAAAAAACATATGAGCATCGAGAATCTCCAGGCGAATCCACAACACGTTTTAAAGGCATCGGATTCCACCCATAACCTGCCTCACCTTGAAATCCCTCCACCTACTCCACATCGTACCGCGCGAGTGGGCCATGGCGTGGAGCAGGAACGGCGGGTGGAGTTGGAACTTGATGTGGACGGCGTCGAGGAGGTCCATCTCCGCCCGACGGGAGTCCACAAGGCCAAGGCGGAGGGCCATCTCGTCCTCCAGTTGGCCGGCGGCTGAGGGGGTTTAGGATAATGTGGTCAAGGTATTTTATATCATTCAGTAGCTATTTATCTGTCTTTCTGTCTACCTGTTTCCCTGTCTGTCTGATAGTAATAATAATAATAATAATAATGATAGCAATAATGATAAAGATAATAATAATAATAAAAAAAATAATAACAATAGTAATAACAATAATAATAATAATAATAATAATAACAGTACTAATAATGTTACAATAATAATAACAGTACAAATAATGATAATAATAATAATAATAACAGTACTAATAATGATAACAATGATAATAATAACAGTACTACTACTAATAACAATAATAATACCAATAATAATGATAATAATAACTATCTAACTTGGAAGTCAATCGAAAGGACTTGGACTAAGTTCCCCCATCTCACACACTCCAAGGCCGCCCAAGCTTACTCTTAAGGGCGAGACTGGCTTGGATGCTGCTGGGGCTGAGGCAGGACTTCTGTTCCGCCAGATAAGTGCGGTTGAACATCCCGACGGAGGCGCCGAGGCCCTTGCAACCCCCGCTGCCGATCAGATGGTACTCCACCATGATCTTTTCCCGGACTGAAGGCGTTGTGAGCTTTCAGGAGGAAGAGGAAAATTAGTAAAGGAAAGAAATGTATGTAATTATATCTGAGAGGTTATTATCCCCAATTTTTAATTATTTTTGTGTGTTTATTAAAATCTAATGTGAGTTCGATCAAGAAAATTACTTTGGTTTTTAATTATTGTTGCTAAATCACTTTTTTTGTTGGAGAATCAAATTAGGGCTTTCATATAGGAATAACTTAATGTGTTATAACTCGACCCTATAATCTTTCTTTCTTACAACAGCATGCATTACGAAAATGAATCACTTTCCATCCTTTTACACTCCCAAAGCACTCACTCTCTCTCTCTCTCTCTCTAACCTTTCTTACAACAGTATGCATTACGAAAATTAATCAATTTCCATTCTTTACACTTCAAAGCATTCTCTCTCTCTCTATGCCCCCCACTCCCATCCCCGCAGATCAATACCAACCTCAACAAACCTAATAACACCACTTACGGTGCAGTCGGCGGTAGCGTGTCGGTACCGATGCCCCGTGTCCAAGCCGCAGGTGAGGGTGAAGCGGGAGTCGTGATGCGTCTCGTGATGCTGGTAGGGGTCGGGTCTCCACGAAGGCACCAGCATCACCACACTCACCTGGGCGCTGTCGGGGGAAGGCAGGAAGGACGCCACCACGTCTATGATTCTCGGGGAGGCGCTCATCGTTTTCTGAAGGAGGCGCGGAAGGGGGAGAGACGGGGGAGAGAAAGGGGGAGGGGGAGGGTTAGTGATGTGACAAAAGTCGTGGTTTTATAGTATTGTTCATTTAAAAATGTGATGGAATATGTAATAGAGACGAAGAAAAGGGAGAGAGGGACGGAGGGAAGGAGAGAAGGAGGGAAAGAGGAAAGAAGGGAGGGAGGGAAGGAGGGAAGGGGGAAGGGAGGGAGGGAGAGAGGGAGGGAGGGAAGGAGAGAGGGAGAGAGAGAGAAGGAAAGAGAAAGATAGAAAGAGAAAGAGAAAGAGAGAGAGAGAGAGAGAGAGAGAGAGAGAGAGAGAGAGAGAGAGAGAGAGAGAGAGAGAGAGAAAGAGAGAGAGAGAGAGAGAGAGAGAGAGAGAGAGAGAGATTCTAGTCTCATTAAAAAACTATATATGACACATAATCTAATAAATACACGATTCACAACAGAAATTAAAAAAAAAAAAAAAAAAGCACGCACAGTGAGGTTAGCAATGAGGATGTGGTTGCCGCTGTCTTGCAATATCTCGAGGTCGAGTCTGAGGGCGTCTTCCAAGGCACTGAACATGTCCAAGAGCAAAGCAGCACGAATGGACAGCTGATCAGCTACGATGTTCCCGCCCACTCGGAGAATCTGGAATGGACGATTATTTTTGGAAAACGATGATAATAAATGAAAAATAAGAATAAATGAATGAATAGATGAATAAATGAATAAATAATATAAGGATGAGTAGTAGGTATTGGAAGGTTCAGTTTTCGAAAACTTTTGGGAATCTGCGATGGAAGATCCTTTTTAGAAAACGAAAGACTTTTGAGGAATAGTTAGCGAAGATCGTTTTCCTACAAAAAAAAAATATATATATATTGAGTAGTAGTATTAGCGCCATTGTCGATATCGGAAAGGAAAATTTGTAAAAGACCATAAAAAAAATCACACCGCCATCGACACTCTCATTAAATATCTCACAAGACAAAATGACAAAATCCCACACCATCCTTTTTATTATTTAATCCTCGGCTTCCTCCTCACCTTATCGAAGGAACTATGATGCAGGCGCGAATGGACCGCCCACTCGGAGGCCCTGGAAGAAGCATAATGGGCAACGCTCGAGTTCCAGGTCACCACGCCCTCGGGATCGCCCGTCCTGTCGAGCCATAGACGAGTCTCCAAGTTAGAACTCGAGACCAGACGACCTCCTGGCAGTGACGAAATCTCCGCCTCCTCCACCACGTTCTGCCGCGACACCGTCATGAGCTGGACTGTCCGGTTGGTCGTGTCCAGCAGCAAGTCTGTTGAACGTAAATAACGGTTGGTAGCTGTTTATGCTTACTTTCCATGGCGGACGTTCTGTTTCTATTCATGTGATTATCTTATTTCATAACTCTCCTGGTAAAGTACTTAATGTTGTTTCCACTTATACTGTATTAATATAGGCTGTATTAATATCTAGTAATGTACTTGATATTGCTTCTACTTTTGCTGTATTAATATAGGGTGTGACTATCTTCGCCAAGAGAAGTACCATTTTAAATCATGGAATAAAATGTTCTGACTTGTGACTCTGGCTTAGGCTTAGCAGTGATGACTGACAGGTTATTTCCTTTTTTTTTTATATAGATATAACGCCTAGCCACGAATAACAACAGATTCACTTCGACGAAATTAATATTTCATTTGTTTTTATAACTGTATACGAGATAAAATCAGTCGTCAATAGATCTAATATTGCCACTGTTCTCGTAGCAGGTGAAACAATCCTCAAATAATAGTAAATAAAAGATGATTTAATCCAGCACATACCAACGCTAATTTTTTATTATTGTCTCCATTGCAATTTCATAAGCTTGCCCTGACTTTGCAACGAAGCAAATGAAAGAATAGACTAATGAGCTGTTATCGTGGTTTTACTTAACAAAATTGATTAACCTGGAACTAATTACTCAGTCAGTCCGAATTTAATAGCGGAAGGAAGGACTTAAATTACGGAATTCAACAATAGAAAGATGTAAAGAAAGAAAAATGAAAAAAATAGAAAATAAGAGGAAAAAAACAAGAAAAACGAAAGAAAAAAGAAAGAAAGACAGAAAAAGGGAAGAAAGAGATATGAAAAAACAACAAATTAAATAAAATCAAAGAAAAAAAAACGGAAAAAGTTTAAGAAAAAAAAAACGAAACAGAAAAAAAAGTAAAAGAAAAAGAAAAGAAAGAAAGGAAGAAAAAACAAACGAAAAAATAATAAATCGAAAAAAAGAGAAAAGAAAAAGAAAGAAAACGAAGAAAAAGAAAAAAACTAACAAAAAATCACGAACCCAGAGTCTCGGGAGTGAGGCGGAGAGTGGCGTGCAGAAGGCCCCGATTCTCGAAGGTTTCACACGTGACCCT